GCCTGGAGAAGGGTTCAGCTACATGAAGGTGGTTAGTTTCCCAGCCGCGAGAAGTGTTCAGCTCCATGTAGGTGGTCAGTCCCTCAGCCTGGAAAAGGGTTCAGTTGCATAGTCTAGAACATTGTTCCTGACCAAGAGAGTAAGCATTGATAAGAGGAAGATAGAGGAACAACAAGAGGAGGAAGACGGAAGAGGAAAAGCAACAGTAGGAAGACAGGAGAGAGGAAACAGTAATGATAGGAGACAGAGACAATTATCTTCGATCATTTCCTGTAATTGTTTCTAAAAGATAACTTAGTGAAGGAGAGAGTTCAGTGATCTGGAACCTCATGCTGGGTGGTTCAGTGATCTGGAACCTCATGCTGGGTGGTTCAGTGATCTGGAACCTCATGCTGGGTGGTTCAGTGATCTGGAACCTCATGCTGGGTGTTCAGTGATCTGGAACCTCATGCTGGGTGGTTCAGTGATCTGGAACCTCATGCTGGGTGGTTCAGTGATCTGGAAACCTCATGCTGGGTGGTTCAGTGATCTGGAACCTCATGCTGGGTGGTTCAGTGGTCTGGAACCTCATGCTGGGTGGTTCAGTGATCTGGAACCTCATGCTGGGTGGTTCAGTGATCTGGAACCTCATGCTGGGTGGTTCAGTGATCTGGAACCTCATGCTGGGTGGTTCAGTGATCTGGAACCTCATGCTGGGTGGTTCAGTGATCTGGAACCTCATGCTGGGTGGTTCAGTGGTCTGGAACCTCATGCTGGGTGGTTCAGTGATCTGGAACCTCATGCTGGGTGGTTCAGTGATCTGGAACCTCATGCTGGGTGGTTCAGTGATCTGGAACCTCATGCTGGGTGGTTCAGTGGTCTGGAACCTCATGCTGGGTGGTTCAGTGATCTGGAACCTCATGCTGGGTGGTTCAGTGGTCTGGAACCTCATGCTGGGTGGTTCAGTGATCTGGAACCTCATGCTGGGTGGATCAGTGGTCTGGAACCTCATGCTGGGTGGTTCAGTGATCTGGAACCTCATGCTGAGTGGTTCAGTGATCTGGAACCTCATGCTGGGTGGTTCAGTGATCTGGAACCTCATGCTGGGTGGTTCAGTGATCTGGAACCTCATGCTGGGTGGTTCAGTGATCTGGAACCTCATGCTGAGTGGTTCAGTGATCTGGAACCTCATGCTGGGTGGTTCAGTAATCTGGAACCTCATGCTGGGTGGTTCAGTGGTGTGGAACCTCATGCTGGGTGGTTCAGTGATCTGGAACCTCATGCTGGGTGGTTCAGTGATCTGGAACCTCATGCTGGGTGGTTCAGTGATCTGGAACCTCATGCTGGGTGGTTCAGTGGTGTGGAACCTCATGCTGGGTGGTTCAGTGGTGTGGAACCTCATGCTGGGTGGTTCAGTGGTGTGGAACCTCATGCTGGGTGGTTCAGTGATCTGGAACCTCATGCTGGGTGGTTCAGTGATCTGGAACCTCATGCTGGGTGGTTCAGTGGTGTGGAACCTCATGCTGGGTGGTTCAGTGGTGTGGAACCTCATGCTGGGTGGTTCAGTGATCTGGAACCTCATGCTGGGTGGTTCAGTGGTGTGGAACCTCATGCTGGGTGGTTCAGTGATCTGGAACCTCATGCTGGGTGGTTCAGTGGTGTGGAACCTCATGCTGGGTGGTTCAGTGGTGTGGAACCTCATGCTGGGTGGTTCAGTGGTGTGGAACCTCATGCTGGGTGGTTCAGTGATCTGGAACCTCATGCTGGGTGGTTCAGTGATCTGGAACCTCATGCTAGGTGGTTCAGTGATCTGGAACCTCATGCTGGGTGGTTCAGTGATCTGGAACCTCATGCTGGGTGGTTCAGTGATCTGGAACCTCATGCTGGGTGGTTCAGTGATCTGGAACCTCATGCTGGATGGTTCAGTGATCTGGAACCTCATGCTGGGTGGTTCAGTGATCTGGAACCTCATGCTGGGTGGTTCAGTGATCTGGAACCTCATGCTGGGTGGTTCAGTGATCTGGAACCTCATGCTGGGTGGTTCAGTGATCTGGAACCTCATGCTGGGTGGTTCAGTGATCTGGAACCTCATGCTGGGTGGTTCAGTGATCTGGAACCTCATGCTGGGTGGTTCAGTGATCTGGAACCTCATGCTGGGTGGTTCAGTAATCTGGAACCTCATGCTGGGTGGTTCAGTGGTGTGAAACCTCATGCTGGGTGGTTCAGTCATCTGGAACCTCATGCTGGGTGGTTCAGTGATCTGGAACCTCATGCTGGGTGGTTCATTGATCTGGAACCTCATGCTGGGTGGTTCAGTGGTGTGGAACCTCATGCTGGGTGGTTCAGTGGTGTGGAACCTCATGCTGGGTGGTTCAGTGGTGTGGAACCTCATGCTGGGTGGTTCAGTGATCTGGAACCTCATGCTGGGTGGTTCAGTGATCTGGAACCTCATGCTGGGTGGTTCAGTGGTCTGGAACCTCATGCTGGGTGGTTCAGTGATCTGGAACCTCATGCTGGATGGTTCAGTGGTGTGGAACCTCATGCTGGGTGGTTCAGTGATCTGGAACCTCATGCTGGGTGGTTCAGTGGTCTGGAACCTCATGCTGGGTGGTTCAGTGGTCTGGAACCTCATGCTGGGTGGTTCAGTGATCTGGAACCTCATGCTGGATGGTTCAGTGGTGTGGAACCTCATGCTGGGTGGTTCAGTGATCTGGAACCTCATGCTGGGTGGTTCAGTGGTCTGGAACCTCATGCTGGGTGGTTCAGTGGTGTGGAACCTCATGCTGGGTGGTTCAGTGGTGTGAAACCTCATGCTGGGTGGTTTAGTGGTGTGGAACCTCATGCTGGGTGGTTCAGTGATCTGGAACCTCATGCTGGGTGGTTCAGTGATCTGGAACCTCATGCTGGGTGGTTCAGTGGTGTGGAACCTCATGCTGAGTGGTTCAGTGGTCTGGAACCTCATGCTGGGTGGTTCAGTGATCTGGAACCTCATGCTGGGTGGTTCAGTGGTCTGGAACCTCATGCTGGGTGGTTCAGTGATCTGGAACCTCATGCTGGGTGGTTCAGTGGTGTGGAACCTCATGCTGGGTGGTTCAGTGGTGTGGAACCTCATGCTGAGTGGTTCAGTGGTGTGGAACCTCATGCTGGGTGGTTCAGTGATCTGGAACCTCATGCTGGGTGGTTCAGTGATCTGGAACCTCATGCTAGGTGGTTCAGTGATCTGGAACCTCATGCTGGGTGGTTCAGTGGTCTGGAACCTCATGCTGGGTGGTTCAGTGATCTGGAACCTCATGCTGGATGGTTCAGTGGTCTGGAACCTCATGCTGGGTGGTTCAATGATCTGGAACCTCATGCTGGGTGGTTCAGTGATCTGGAACCTCATGCTGGGTGGTTCAGTGGTCTGGAACCTCATGCTGGGTGGTTCAGTGGTCTGGAACCTCATGCTGGGTGGTTCAGTGGTCTGGAACCTCATGCTGGGTGGTTCAGTGGTCTGGAACCTCATGCTGGGTGGTTCAGTGGTCTGGAACCTCATACTGGGTGGTTCAGTGGTCTGGAACCTCATGCTGGGTGGTTCAGTGGTCTGGAGCCTCATGCTGGGTGGTTCAGTGGTCTGGAACCTCATGCTGGAGTGGGATACCATGCTGGGTGCTTCATTGGAGTGGGATACCATGCTGGGTGCTTCATTGGAGTGGGATACCATGCTGGGTGCTTCATTGGAGTGGGATACCATGCTGGGTGCTTCATTGGAGTGGGATACCATGCTGGGTGCTTCATTGGAGTGGGATACCATGCTGGGTGCTTCATTGGAGTGGGATACCATGCTGGGTGCTTCAGTGGTCTGGGTCCCAGTGGAAATACGTCACTTTGACTTTTTTTGGGCTATCCCAGATTCTCTGCACATATGCTGGTATGTATGATAATCTATGTAACTGTATTTGTGTATACCTGAATAAACTTATTGGGATGTCTACTACAGAGAAACATGGACAGGTTTCTCCTGCTGTCTCGCCCACCACCTAGCAGTAACAGACACATCCGTGTTTCAGGCTACTCAGGTGGGACGGATCCAGGGGAACAGACTGTGTACTGAAACTTCAGTCCTGGTGGAATGTCGTGGCCTGACTGGGAAGTCACTCCGGTCATGTGCTTGAGAAACCTCCAGTAACTTGATTATTGAGACACTTGTTCTAGTGTCTATTTATCAACTTGCTAATTTTGTGAACCATTTATTTACCTCCATTAATTACTGGGTAAATTCACATACATACTGATGGATATTTTTAAATATGCTACTCAAATAACCTGCACGTAGAATGAAACTGATGACGACGTCTCTGTCCGACTTTGATCACTAACTTGCTAATAATTCAAGTCGGACGGAAATATCGTAATATATGCTAAATTGGTACATTTAGTGAGTTTATGACGTTAAGGCGGACTGTCTCATAGTGCGAATGTATTGTTCTGTACATTGTTCAGTATAGTTTGAAAATATCGAAATGCTCTTGTGATAATGAATCTATATTGTTCGTTACTGATGATGAATAAGACACTTGTGCAACACCTGGGTATCTTCGTACTGAAAGACGCTTCGCTAACCAATGGCTTTGTCCATTCAGTCCAGAGGTTTGAAGATGTTTAAACTGGAGTCAGTTGAAGACGAGATAATCAGTCCTTCAACCTAGATGAAGATGTTCACTTTTTTTTCATCAGCTTCTCGGTATTGTATGTCATTACTGCTGCCATTCATAAGGGATGTACGTATGTATTGTTAGTTACATGTTTATAATGTGTTCGAAGTTGTTTCCCTTCATCCCATTACCTTTAATTCTTGTTGTTCTTATCTATACTGGAGATATCGTCATAAAAAAATCCATTACCAGTGTGTATGGGGACAGTCCATCCTGAGATGTGGTAATTCCTAAGTAATAGTAAGTCTAACTCTACTGGAACGAAATCGCTGAAGCTAAATTATATTGTAAGTCTGTATAAGTGTACTAATTGTAATGTGTTACAGGTACAGTGGTGGCTGGTTTTGGTGAGTCTCGGGGTGGTGATGATAGAAGGAGCTAGTGTAGAGGACGAATTTGGAGAAAAAAGAGTGCTGATACTACACCCCATGTACGCCGCCTCTCATGTGCTCACCTTGCGGTCCCTGGCCAAGGCTCTCGTCGCTAGGGGACACCAGGTTAGTAACTCGTCACACACAATGTTAATCAGAATGATTATCACGTACAATAGGTTATGATACTGTTACATAGGAGAAACTCCGGTTGGTGCCCTCGTTACTTGTTGCTCCTGTCCTCTGTGACCCTAGTGACTCCTTGGACTTTAATTTTGGGAAATAATCTTCCCTTCTCTTTCCATCTTCCTCTTCCATCTAGCTGTCTTTCAGAGGCCTTAGATGTATTAGTTACTGTACATTTGTTGTATCAGTACTTAACACTGCAACCACAATAGAAACTTTGTGTTAAGGGGTATCTGGTATGAGCTAGACAGCAGTGGCTGTCAGTTTGCTATCACCTTGAGTGTACACCACTCTTAAATGGCCATCTCCTCCCTCCCCTTTCCCAGATCAAACCTGAATACCTCCCGTTTCCAAGCTGCTGTATGACCACTTCAGTGTTAGTGATTCCACATGAATAGGATAATCCGCCCATTTTAATCCAGACTTCTTGATATAGTAGACGGTCACACAAGGTGAATTATTCTGAGCCGTGACCTGACTTAGCTGGAATTCTCATGGCACCAGAACCTCTGACACCTCAGAGATGTCGGTGAGCTTCCTGTATATATTAGGCCATTGTTTTTAAGGTCCAAACTTGTTTCATATTCGGGCAGGTATCACCAGCTCCTCCCTGGCTGTACCTTCCTCAAGAACATAGTGTCTAACTCTCCCTCAGAATTTATTCTCAAAGCAAAAATGCAGAAATGAATAAGACAACTTGCTCAATAAAGGTTCAATAAAACTCGTTTTATTTGCTTTGAAATCCGCTTTTTTTTAAATAAGATTATTTCGATCTCTGTCCTGGGATCCCCTTCATCATTGTGCTCATTGCCTGTAATGATTAAATTTTAATTTTAAAGATCGAAATATTCAGTTTCATTCTTCGTCTGCTTTCAAAATATGGATTTTCAAAGTGATATAAAAGTTTAACATTGCTTTTTTATGTTTAGCTCTAGTCAGTTAACTCACATCTAATATATTTCTCTCATTTCACACGTAGCTTTTTTCACTGAAGTACACACTGTGATGTACTCTTAGTTTTGACTGAGTCGACCGGTGAGCCAGCCGCAGGTCTCTCTCCCATGACTAAAAGTGTCAATGAGCTGGTCATCATACACCTAAAACCTCCGTCAGATGAAATTTTCCCTGACGAATAAGTAACAGTAACTCTAGTTCTCCTGGAACCTTTCAAGCTGTAACAGCTACTGAACCCATGGAGGGAAAGCTTAGCCATATCTTCCTTGTCTTGATAAAGTTTACCAGCTCAGGTCGGCGAGATTACATTGCTTGGTATACGAACCTATCTTACGTGATGGAATGTGACAGTGAAACCTAGCTAGCAGTTGGTAAATCAACACTCTGGGTTTACCCAATTTTGTTTAAGAAAAACAATGATTTACACTCACATGTCTTACCTCTTATTGTGCAGGTGACGGTGGTAAGATGGCAGGACAGTCACCAGTACCCGGCCGCTGATCACCCAGGCATCACAGAGTTCGTCTTGGCCATCAACAATTCTGACGGCTCCATACCTCACATGACCCTCGAGGAGAGAGCCAGGTACCTATGTTGTTCATTGTTTACATGCACAGTCGTTGGCGCCCGATACTCTATAAATCATTAACTTAATCTAATTCTCCCTGAAGATATTAAAACCAATGTATCGGTTTCCTCTAAAATCTGGAACTGCGTGCGTTATATATTGTCTTCAAATTGTGTTTTTTTTTTTAAGGTCCACAGTTTTTCTTGAATGTATCGAACGTATTAAATCACATATATCCTGCTGTATATTATAATTCCCGGAAGACTGGCAGTCCTCCCTAAGCATTTTATGGGTTGCATCTATCACAAATATTAAGATTAAAAATACTCGCTAAGCATGCTCTCTCAGCGGAAGGCTTCGGTCAGATGACTCAAAGTTATAGTTGCGGGTCATTATATAACTAAGACCTGCACCAGGAAACACTTGTCCTGTTTCCTGACAAACCTTACCTAACCTAACCCCTCCTCACCGTCACGTAAATCCGCCCTGTACGTTATCATTATTTTTACTCTTTGTCGCTGAAGGTCGTAATGTTACGAGTGTGTGGCCAATCACAGTACTTATGTATGTTGTAACTATGTTCAGTGGCCCGGTAGACACACCTGGACCATGAGGAAGACCTCGGTGTAGAGGTCGATGTGAAAGTTGACACTCCCAGCTCTCCAGTAGCTGACTTGTTAGTTTACTGCTGTGGTGGTACTGTGTAGCTGGGTCTTGTTATTGTGTAGCTGGGTCTTGTTATTGTGTAGCTGGGTCTTGTTATTGTGTAGCTGGGTCTTGTTATTGTGTACCTGGGTTTTGTTATTGTGTACCTGGGTTTTGTTATTGTGTACCTGGGTCTTGTTATTGTGTACCTGGGTTTTGTTATTGTGTACCTGGGTCTTGTTATTGTGTACCTGGGTTTTGTCACTGTGCGACTCTGACAGTCCTCGAAGACGCACTGACTTTCTTGGGTTATCCTAGGTGGCTGGTTCAAAATTCGAGCAAATCTGATCTGCCCTCACATTGTCACACCTCTCCCTCTTTCCCCTGCTCTACCTCACCTCTCATTCCCTTACTGCCTCACCTCTCATCTTTCATTCTCCCCTCACTCACTGTCTCTCCTCTCTTATCTATTACATCCGCCTCACTGCCTCTCTCTTCTCTCCCATCTCCTCGTCGCCTCCTTTCCACCCCTCATTGCCTTTCTTTCCTCTTCCTCTCCTCTCCCTCACCCCTCCCATTTCTGTTAACCAGTTCTGGTGGATCAGGGCGAGTATCGTCACAACCATCATCCCATCTCACTTCAACGACCCAGAGTTGTTGTTGTCCAGGTGATGTTCAGGTCCCGGGTGAAAAGGAGGATGTTGAGGCGAAGGTTCTTGTATCAAGCTTGTTCTCTAACAAACTTCTGCCATAGATCTTTTGCACCAAAATTCTTTGACAAGTCCACGGAAAGTGGTAGACCTGGTGGGTCTTCTAGACGAGCAGCAATTTATACAGTGTTAAACATGGAGTGAGAGTTTGGCTCGACTCTTTCCCAAGAAGGTGTCGCAAAGACGATTTTCTGTAGACCTGCTTATGATTGCTGCTCATATCTCCGTGATTTGCAGTAATGCTGACTGGTTGGTTGATTAACAGGGTTTAAAGCTTATCTGCTACACCAGGGGAAAATTGAAAATGGGATAAATTGAAATGAAAATAAACTTTCGTTACATATACACTCAGAGATATACCTTTCAGGGTATCTATCTTGTTAATGCTGACTCCAGCGCATTTTTAAATCCTCTCCTCATGGCAATATAGTTTTCGTTTTCAGTAGGTTTTATATATGTAAAGTAAAAGGACACAAGTGCAACTAATGTGACATTTATTGTGGCAACGTTTCGCTCTCCAGGAGCTTTATCAATGGCTTGATAAAGCTCCTGGAGAGCGAAACGTTGCCACAATAAATGTCACATTAGTTGCACTTGTGTCCTTTTACTTTACATATTGTCGGTAATTCTACCAACTTTATTACAGGTTTTATATAATACCAGGGTAACTATAGGGACCTCGGGGAAATGTTGGATTTTTTATTATTACGAATTCAATGTTTGTTTTTTTTCATAGTGATGCTGGATGCTTTAATAGTGGTAATATATAGGTTTTACTAAGTGTTACTGTTCCTTTGTGTAAATGATGTTACTTAGTGAAGTTGGAGTGATATTAAGTTTAGCTTTGAGTACGCTACAAGTACATGTAAGTATGAGTAAGACACACGTGCAACAGCTGGGTATCTTTATTGTTGAGACGTTTCACAAACACGGTCGGCTTCTTCAGTCAAATACATTACAGAATGTTACCTGTTTGGGTGGGAGATCAAAATATCATTATATTAACTGTACTTGTATATAACAACTTGTATATAACAACGACAACCAGATGAAGACGTGTGCAAAACTTTGCTGTCTTTATTTCAATAAATTTTCCTGTTTATCAGGCTTCTTCAGTCGTTTACAGAGGTGAGTGATATACTGGAAACACAGGTGGAGGGTGTTGAGTCTCTGTCACTCTGTGATACCATCTTCAGCCGCCGTACTACAGTTCTGGTCCGGTATACAGCTCCATATATCTGCCTCTACTTCAGAGTGATCAACTCTAAGAGTTTCTGTCTCCTGACTATGAGATGGAGAATCGAACCTCTACCAATTGTTTAGCTGAATGGCCCAGAGGGGTTTAGCACTTCATATAAATATAATAAAGAATAAAAAATACACAGTACCACGTCTACTTCTCTTAGTACAACTATGGCCTGGCTACACTCCCTCTCTGACCATTGTCAATAACACTACTACTGTGATAAATGGTCTAAAAAACCGACAAGTTGAAAATTGAGACACTTATGCAGCATATGGGAATCTTTATTCAGGAAACGTTTCGCCACACAGTGGCTTCATCAGTCCAATACAAAGCAGAAAGTTGTAAGGAGAGGAGGAGTTTAAGGTAATCAGTCCCTCAGCCTGGAGTCGATGTGTTCAGTCCATCACATCTACGGTCCTATGTTGTACTGTCTACAAGATTGATGGACTGAACACATCGACTCCAGGCTGAGGGACTGATTACCTTAAACTCCTCCTCTCCTTACAACTTTCTGCTTTGTATTGGACTGATGAAGCCACTATGTGGAGAAACGTTTAAGAACATAAAAACATAAGAAAGGAGGAACACTGCAGCAGGCCTGTTGGCCCATACTAGGCAGGTCCTTCACAGTCCATCCCACTAACAAAATATTTACCCAACCCAATTTTCAATGCTTCCCAAGAAATAAGCTTTGATAATTCTGTTTACCCATGTGCAAGTCCCACTCAAATCCAACCCCTCTCACTCGTGTATTTATCCAACCTAAATTTGAAACTACCCAAGGTTTTGGCCTCGATAACCCTACTAGGCAGACTGTTCCACTGGTCAACTATCCTATTTCCCGTATCCTTTCTAAATCTAAACTTGTGATGAATGGTTTGAAAAACCGACAAGTTGAAGATTGAGACACTTATGCAACATATGGGAATCTTTATTCAGGAAACGTTTCGCCACACAGTGGCTTCATCAGTCCAATACAAAGAGGAAGGCGTAAGGAGACGAGGAGAATGAGGTAATCAGTCCCTCAACCTGGAGTCGATGTGTTCAGTCCATCAATCTTGTAGAATGTACAGCATAGGGCCGTAGACGTGGCTTATATACTGTAGAGAGGTGAGGTGAAGCAGGCGGAGGCGGGGTCATAGTGGTACCATCCACTAGTCGAAGTAGGTCTTCGTCCAAAGGTTGAACAAGTTGAAGAATTCTTTGTAACAAGATCCCATGATGCTGCTGTGTCTGACAGTTGTGATGAATGGTTTGAAAAACCATGTTGCATAAGTGTCTCAATCTTCAACTTGTCGGTTTTTCAAACCATTCATCACAACTGTCAGACACAGCAGCATCATGGGATCTTGTTACAAAGAATTCTTCAACTTGTTCAACCTTTGGACGAAGACCTACTTCGACTAGTGGATGGTACCACTATGACCCTGCCTCCGCCTGCTTCACCTCACCTCTCTACAGTATATAAGCCACGTCTACGGCCCTATGCTGTACATTCTACAAGATTGATGGACTGAACACATCGACTCCAGGTTGAGGGACTGATTACCTCATTCTCCTCGTCTCCTTACGCCTTCCTCTTTGTATTGGACTGATGAAGCCACTGTGTGGCGAAACGTTTCCTGAATAAAGATTCCCATATGTTGCATAAGTGTCTCAATCTTCAAATCTAAACTTGTCTAGTCTGAATCCATTACTGCGGGTTCACTCTTAAGAACATAAGAACATAAAACGAAGGAAACTCAAAAGGGCCTCGGGCCCATGCGAGGAGGCCCAATTTCCCTCCCCGGCTTAACCAATGCACCCAACCTAGTCAGGTCAGGTCACATTGATTTAAAGGGGAGGAACACGGCAACCGACCTTTTGACAAGCTATCGGTCAAACTCAACCCACCCACTCTACTCATGTATTTATCCAACCGGGTCGTGTTCAGTGGTCAGTCGTCACGTGGGGTACAGCCCCTGAGCTGCTTTGGGGATTGCGTGGAGGTTACAAACATGGCTTGTTCTGGTTTTTTAAAAACTGAGGTTGGGAGTTGAAGGAGGGGTCTTGCTTCTCCAGGAGGAGTTTAGGAGGTAAGGTCCCCCTAAAGGGGGCCGGGAGAGGTGGAGGGGTTGGAGATGGGGGGAATGAGGTTTCTAGCATGGGTGCAGTCTGTCTCTCCTGTGAGGAGGTGTAGGGGGGGAGGTAGAAACGGCAAAGCAGGAGGTGCAGCCCAGCCCTGCTACAAGGGGCGAGTTTTCAAGTAATGGGGGCGCATCGGAAAGGAAATTTAAAGAGTGAAGTCTAAAGGGTTTAAAAAAATCGCTTCTCTGTTCTCCAGGATGAAGTATTCGTGGCCGTGAAGGTAAGGGTCTACTCCCCCTGCTAATGAAGGTAAGCGCATTCTTGTGGTTGGTGACTAGGAAGATATGTT